TTATATCTCCCCCCGCCCCCGTCCCTCAAAATGACCACATAGACTTTTATTTTTGACATCACTTTCAAATAATTTCAGTTACAAAAGAAAAGAGCAGAATGGCTGAGAGCTAGAACATAAAATGACAAGGGAATGGGTATTCCAAGGGAAGCAGAGTTTTACATGGATAGGGGGAATCTCATGAACTCACTCAACAAACACCTGCCAGTGAAGACACAAGACATGTGTCATCATCAGCTATGTTGTCAACTGCTCATAGTTTTCCTTTTCTTTTTCTTTCTTTCCTTTTCTTTTTAAAGCATTTTGCTCTAGGGCACATGTACTCTCATGAGAGAAATAGAGCAAGACAGTGAGAAGGAAAGTGAGAAATCCCCTAGGGGGTATGGCCATGCGACAATCCCTTCACTCTCCTGGGATTTTGGGCATGCACACACATGTGCCTGATGTGATTTCTCCTCCTCCTCCTCCTCCTCTTCTTCTTCTTCTTTCTTTTCTTCTTCTTCTTTTCCTCCTCCTCCTTCTTTTTTTATGATTTAGAGAATATTTTATTAGTTTTTGTAATCAAACTCATGTAGATAAGACCTTACATATTTAATACAGTGTGATATCCCTGCACAAATGGAAAAAAATTAAGTTTAATGTTTCTAAACCAATATGGCTGTTAATTTCTGTACAATGCCAACTCAACACAGTAAACTGGGATAATTTTTCCAAAGTTGACAGCACAGTTAAAGTTTCCAAAAATTCAAATGATATATATGTACATATGTGTATATGTGTGTGTATATATGTAAACAGATACATATATACACATACATAACCAGTCATAGCAGTATGTTGTGCATCAGTAGCAACAATAGCTTTTTCAGATTCTGCAGTTGTCCGAACAAAATTATAGAGACATCCATATTTTAAAAAAGATTTGACCAAAAATTCCACCAACAAACCACTGGATTCATACAAAGATGACCAAGTAGAGGCTAATCAGATTCAACCCAACTAGTATTTTACCAAATCTGCCATGTCTGAATGGTGAGAGCTCCACAGCACCCCTTCCGAAGGCTCAGTATCTGAACATAAAATGATTTTGAAATGACCAGCTGCAGGTTTTAGGTTTTTGTACTTACAGAGAAATTAAGAGGGAATGCTGCTGAATCTAATTCATATATGTATAAGATAATGAAAATTCCCCTAAATCCAATATATATATAAGGAGCAGTTGTGACACTTTAAATTTCCAGAGTCCAATAGGGCCAGTCACTGATGTCGAGTGGTCTGCATCGGCTGCTGTAGATCCAGGGTGGTTAGCTGTGGCCTAGAAACCTTAGAAGGGTTAGCAAAGACCATTCCTTAACGGTGCTGTGTGTGGCTGCTTTTCTGACTTTCAAGCACAGCATATTGGCTGTCTAGTTGAAGTTTAAGGGCCTCGTTTTTGAAACCTCATCCCTACTTCTATTTTTGTATCTTACTACTTCCAAACTCTTCTCCATTTCTCTATCCCTAAGGGAAAAGAAATGTAATCAGTAAAGATTTCTTCTTTACTAGGGTTTTGAAAATGTTCTTCCCTGAATTAAAAAGAAAAAAGGCCATCCCTTGGAAAAATTTTAGGGAGGGACAGAAGGGGAGAACCAGTATATAAAATCTTTTTCAAGCCATTTTTCTTCAATTGAACAGAAAAGCTCTTCTCCATTTCTCTATCGCTAAGGGAAAAGAAATGTAATCAGTAAAGATTTCTTCTTTACTAGGGTTTTGAAAATGTTCTTCCCTGAATTAAAAAGAAAAAAGGCCATCCCTTGGAAAAATTTTAGGGAGGGACAGAAGGGGAGAACCAGTATATAAAATCTTTTTCAAGCCATTTTTCTTCAATTGAACAGAAAACACAGAATAATGTACTAAAGCGCTATGACCCTCTCTTCTACAGAATAGTATTAACTGTAACCCTATTTCATGACTAACTAGAAGACAAATGGAAAGTTAAATCTGTATAAAGACATTTTTCCTAAGACTTTTACTTTTAGCAAATAATACATCTCTCTTTATGCATAAGAGCAACAATTTTCTCATTCAAGTAAAGTTCTACTCGTTAATGATTTTGTCTCACTTCTGTTTTGTGGGAGTGGATCAGATATAGGAAGATGAATGTGGTGAGCCACCGCCTCCTAGATTTCTTACTCACTTTGTGAGACAGAGCAGAGGATCAAGTCCAAGTGGAGGCTTTAAATTCAAGCCAGTTGTGCTCTTCGAGAGGAGAAAAGGCTGGGATTTACTTTAAAAATCACCTCCCCTCCCCAATTTCCATCTGATGTCATTTACATTTCTTCTCATTTTATTTACTTTTAAAAATTCATGCCCTGGGACCAGCAGTTAGCATAGTGGCTATGTTGCTGGACTCCCACGTAGTCGACCGCAGTTTGCGTCCCAGACCCGGTGGCTTAAAACTCACACTGGGCGCGTGTCCGTGCGTGCCCAAGATCCCGAGAGGAGAATGGAGGAGAAGGGATTGTGGCATGGCCATCCCCCCTGGGGGGTGATTTCTCACTTTCTGTCTCTCTGTCCCTCTCTTTCTGGCGAGTGCATGCGCCCCTATAACAAAAACCTCTCCAAAAAAAAATTCATGTCCCTAAATGAGATGTAGATGAGTCATATGTGGTCACTTAACTCCAGGCCACATTCATTTTCAGTACCTGCTCTGGCTATCTACAAGCTTGGCAGTGGACTGCAGGGATGGGAACAGTGTCACTGTATTACCTCTGGCACTGCTTGCGGTGTTTTCCTGGTTGTGGTTAATCCAGCCCCAGGAGGCCTGTCCACACTGCTAGTGATGGCTGGTTCTGGGGTTGCTGCAATAATTACTGGAGCAGGAGGTGCTTTTGCCAGAGCTGTTTTATTCCAGGGACCTGCCAATTTTTCCACACCACTATCACTGCCACCTCTTCCACCTTCTTCCCAGTTATCATTCGGATCTGCTCTCTTTTCATGATCATCTTCTTCCTTTTCACTTACTGGCATTGCCTGAACTCTGAGGTCACTGTAAGCAATCTCTTTTAGTTCAGATTCTTTCTACTCATCTTCTTCCTCCGTCACAGACCTCCCCAGGGCCTGGTGTCTCCGAGCCCACTATCACTGTCACCTGGCTGGGCCTCCGTACCCGTGCAGGCATCGCCACGTGTCCTGCCCCACATTCCCCGCCCCCACCACAGCCCCCTATTTTGTTTTCTAGTTTTCCAGCCGCTGGGTCTGGGACTCTAACTGCAGTCGGTCATGTGGGAGCCCAGTGCTTTAACCATTACGTCACCTGCTGGCCCCGCCTTTTCTTTTTTGATAAAAAGTTTATAGTAGTTATACTTCCACAGATAGAACTATCACTTAGGTTTATCCATTCCTGAAGCCATTTTCATATATTCTTTGTGTTTTTCCCTTAGTTCTGATGACTGTCATCTCCTTCCTCCATGCCACTCTTGCATCCTTTCAACACTTTTTAAAATTTTGTTTTTTGTTTGTTTTGCTAAAAGGCGCATGTACGTACTAGAGAGAAATAGGGAGACATTGAGACAGTGAGAAAAGGAGAAGAAAAAGTATTTCCCATTGGGCATAGTCAAGCTACAATCCCTTCTCCTCCATTTCTCCTTCCTTATGGGATTTTGGGCACACATGCACATGGGCCTGACATGTTTCACAAGCTGCAGAGTCTGAGACTTGAATCACAGGTCAGCCATGTGACGTCCAGCTGCCTTAACCACCATGCCATAGAGCTAGACAATCCCTTCAATGCTTTTGTAACTGCTGGTTCATGCCAAGATCGGATGGGATTAGGACATATTCTGACCATGTTTTTATTTTTTAACTAATTATTTATTTTGCATTCATTCACGGAACATCAACACAGCATACAAGATGCAGTTTCCCATCCAGAATACACTCTATAGTGACTTAGTCATACATGTTATCATCACAGATAATTTTATATTTCATATTTCTAATATTTATATATATTTCTATGGCTCCCCCATTTCTCATCCTCTGCCATATCCCACCCTCCTCCCACTCTATCTCTGGTATCTGCCATTGCTTTCCATTCCCTTTTTTTTTTCCTCCCACATTTTATTGGTTAACAAAGTATCTTAACTGATATAACTACTTTCAGTAGCAAGTTCAACTGATATGTAAACATCTGTGAACAAACATTTGACTTTAGGTATGAAACTGTGAGTAGAATGAATATACTATAAAATAGCACCTAGCTGAGGCTATATAGCTTACTGTGGTCATTAAAGAGGTATTTTTAAACATGTTTTTTAATTTCAAGGAAGGCAATTTTAGCTTTAATAAATAAAAATAAAAAAATGTTAAGAGAACTTTGCTTAAGACTTAAAGCCAGGAAGCAGGTTAAGATTCTGTTCAAATAGTAACCTGGATCTGTTGACAATTTAAGAGATTAAAAAAAATCCTTATCTTTGGACTACAATGCATAGAAAAAGACCAGTATTTTTTCAGCCAAAAATCATAAAATTCTATTTCATCAGCTCAGTTTCATGTACTTAATCTAACTTCTGTTGGATTTAAATTTAAATTTAAATTCTGGAAGATAATATTCAACTCTGGACTTGTCCCTACGTATTTTTGGTTGAAATTGTTTTTCACTCAACATTTTGAATATATTTTCCCATCCTTTCCTTGCTCATATTGTTTCCGATGAGAGGTCTGCTGTTAGCCTGATGGGATATCCTTTGTAGGTAACTTGCCGTTGGTTTTGGTCAGTCTGGCTATAATGTGTCTTGGAGAAAATCTTCTTGGATTGATTCTATTTGGGGCCCTTTGTATTTCTTGGGAATGGATCTTTGAGTGTCACTCTAGTTTGGGAAGTTTTCCTGCAGGATTTCATGGAATAGATTAACATTGCCCTTATTAGTCTCTTCACCTTCTGGGATACCAATGTTCTAGATGTGTGAACATTTGATGGTATCTAGTATTTCTCATATATTGTTCTCATTTTTTGACTATTTTCTCAGTCTTTGTGGTGGATTTTTTTTAGGCCAGTGATTCTGTTTTCTACATCTGAGATTCAGTCTTCTGTATGATCTAGTCTGCTTTTAATACTTTCAAGGGAGGTTTTGATTTCTTGTATTACAGACTTCATCTTTAACAGTTCTGTTTGTTTCTTTTTTATGATGTGTATTTCCTCTTTCAGATCATGCAAGATCATCCTCAACTCCTGGAACTCCTTGGCTCTATTCTCCTGCCTCTTCTGGAATTTCATTGTCTCTCTTTTCTTGCATCTCTGTTAGCTTTGTCACTATGAATATTTTAAATTCCTTATCAGACATTTCCATGATTTCCATTGTACTGTCTGTGGATGAAGAGGAATTATTCTTTTCACTTGGATGAGAGGTATTTTTCTTGCTTCCTCATATTTGTTGTGACCCTGTGGTGATTTCTAGTCATCTGATGGATGGTGGATTTCTTCTTAATTCTTGAAGTTCAATCTGAGTGTTAAGAAGTGTGCAGGAAGGAGTGATCTGCAATCTCTTTGCTGTTCCATTTGTATCTCTGTGCAGCAGATTCATTGGGAACTGAGAAATAGGTTAATCCTGATAGTACTTGGATATTTGGCTATGGTTCCCTTAGATCTGTCTAGACACTCAGTGAATGGAGATTGAGCAGCAAAGTGATGAGATAAAAGAAAAAGAACAAGAAAACAGAGAGAGAGGGGAGAAAGAGAAAAAAAACTTTTTTTTTAATAAAAGCAAAAAATAGGGGCCAGCAGTTGGCATAATGGCTATGTCATTGGACTCCCATGTCATAGTTGACTATTGTTCAAGTCCTCCACCTGGTGGCTTGAACTCACGCTGGACACGTGTGCGTGTGTGCCCAAGATCCTGAGAGGAGAATGGAGGAGGAGGGATTGTGACATGGCCATGCCCCCTGGGGGGTGATTTCTCACTTTCTGTCTCTCTCTGTCTTTCTGACAAGCGCATGCACTGTATAGCAAAAAACCTCTCCAAAAAAAAAAGGCAAAAAATAAAAGCCATGTGGCGCACGAATACGCTGCACAAAATCACTAGTTCTCACTAGCAATGGAGGAGTATTCTTCTGAAGGCCGGAGCTGAAAGCCAAGAGAATATTTTACCTTAAAAAACTTTTAAAGTAAAAATTACAAAAAAAAATTGAGAAGACAGAGAGAGGCAGAAAGAGATAGAGGGAGAGAGAGAGACAGAGTGAAAGCTAGAGGGGCACTGTACCACTCGAGTCTGAATTATCACTAGAAAATCTTCATTTCTCTTATTCCCTTAAATCATTAGTCCTCAGCAGCAATGGAGGAGTCTTTATGCTTCTATATTTGAATGTATCTGAGGGCCAGCAAACGGCATGGTGGTTAAGGTGGCTGTGCCTTAGATGGCCACAGTGTGGTTTAGATCTTGTACCCAACAGCTTGAAAAATATGCCTGGAATGTTTGCTTGTGTGCCCAAACTTCTGAAAGGAGAATGAAGGAGAAGAGATTGTGGTGTGGCCATCCCCCGCCCCACCTCCCCCCAGGCTTTTTCACTTTCTCTTTCTGTCTATCTCTATCTAGTGAGCTCATGTTCCTGTAGCAAAATTAATAAATAAATGCATTTCTATCTGTCTGATTTTTTTAGTTAATTTTTTCTTTAGCAACTTACAAAAGCAGTATTAAAGGCAAGTTAAGGAAAATCATTTGGAATGCGAATGCTTCAACGTACTAATTAAGATCAGACAATAGACTCAGCTTATACTTACATGAGGGGACTTCGAAATGTTTGTGGAAAATTGAATTAAAGTGTGAGGGGTTTTTCAGTGCAAAAAAATAAATTGAAATCCGTGCATAGTTTCTCTCTTGTTTTCTATTTTATCAAAGATTTAATTTTTTTTTTTAATTTCCAGAGCGCATACATGCTCACTGGAGATGGAATGTGAAAAAGCACCCCTGATAGGGGATAGTCACACCAAAATTTCTTCTCCATTTCTCCATCTTGTTGGGATTTTTGTGGGCATGTATTCATATGTGCCCAGCATGTTTTTTCAAACTACTAGGTCTGGGGCTCAAATCATCCAGTCAGTCATGTAGGATCCAGCTGCCTTAATTACAACACCACTGGTTGACCTGTATAGTTCCTCATAATCTATATTTCTCATGAATTTTTTGAAGATCTCCCTCCTTGTACAGCTTTTCTTTTACTAGAAAGTAGGAGGTCCTGGGACCAGCAGATGGCATAATGGTAATGTCGCTGGACTCGCACATAGTTGACAATGGTTTTAGTCCTAGACCTAGTGACTTAACAAACTCATACTGGGTGCATGTGTGTGTATACCGAAGAATAGAGAAGAAGGGATTGCAGTATGGCCAATCCCCTATGGGATGTGATTTCTTGCTTTCTGTCTTTCTGTCTCTCTGGTGAGCACACATGCCTGATAGCAAAAGTCTCTCTAAAAAGAAGAAAAGAAAAGAAAGTAGGAGATCCCAGCAATAATATAAAGATCTAACTGTCCAACTCTGAAACATCACTAGACATATATTGGGCATTATATATAGTTATTATTTAATATACCCAAGGTAACTAAATACATAGTCACAGAATCTTGGACACAATGCTCAGCACCTATTCAAAATTGAATAAAGTGTTGATTGATGAGTAAATAGCCAGTTACTTATAGAACCTTAACAAAGTTGCAAACTAACGTGGTTTAGTCCCAGAACAATGTCACAAATCAAAAAAAAACATAGTTCTGTGGTATAAAGCAATGAAACGTGACTTTCCTCTTTATTATTTTCTTTAAATTCTTTGTTCCCACAAGATGAAAAATATATTTAATGATAGTCCACTTTTACACTACATAGTCCCTGAGAACATTTTGTGTCCTCTTTTTCTTTTTTGTCTCTTTCATTCACATGGTTTTAGTTTTTTTTTTTTTTTCTTCTATGACACAATACCATAAATTAGGTAGCTTATAAACTACAGAAATTTATTTCTCACAGTTCTAAAGGCTGGAA